GTCATTTGTTAGAGAGCATGTTGGTTGATAAATTATTTCCAGAGGCAGAAATTTGGTCTTACCCCTCGGGGACATTTGCATGTAAACTCGGGCCTAGCCTTAAGGTATCAAGTTTTTACTGGTTAAATTGTAAGCTGTCATTAGACCAGCCGGGAAGATGTTTGGGAGGGAGAAGAGTGTGTGTATATGTGTGTGCAGTGCATGTGTGTGTGAGAGAGTGTTTCCTCGGCCTCTCTCAAATCACACCCTGCCTCCTCCACCCACATGCAGCCCCTTCCGCCAAAGCTCATTTCTCCCAGGTCAATGCCGGCTCACTCCACCTCCTCCAGTCCGGACCCCTCTCCAATGTACGCACCCCACCTGACTGTGCACGCATCACCTCCGAGGGCCCAGCGACCTCTGCGCACAAAGAGACCGAAAGGGCGAGCTGCAGCAGGAAGAGGGGCAGGAGGGAGGAAGGGAGAACGCCACAGAGGAAGGCAGATCCAGGTGGCGGAAGGGACAGCTCAGCTGCCCCGGCCCTGGTTGGATGACAGCGGGCTGCCCACCCTCCATCTCAGCCCCACCCTCCCCCAGCTGTGCCTCCCTGCCTTATCTGAACCGCCAGCCCAGCCCCACCTCACCCACCACCCTTTCCTCTCCACAGCTCCCCGCGATGTGGGTGATAAGACCTGCCCACAGGGCTCTCTGAGTTTGTGCCCACCGCTCCTGGCGGGCTTTTCTTCCAGGCAGAAACTGATTCAGACCATGGCTCCCTGGACTTTTAGCAACGAAGCCTCCGTGGGCAGAAGCAGCTTCTGCGCGGGGGTCGGGGGTCCTGGTCTAGCTATGCTCCTGTCTCTGGCCAACCACTACCTGCTCAGCACCAGCCCCTATACTTGGGATTTTCATACATCCTCTCTCAACCTCACCCAAAACGACATTCTCCTCATTTAGAAATGAACAAAAACGAGGCTGAGAGGTGAACCTGCCAAAAGCCCCCCACCGCAGACAGCAGCCAAGCTGGAGTTCCCACCAGGCCAGCCTGAGGCCCAAGCCAATGAGCGTTCTTTTCAATGAGTACCAAAGATCCCACTTCAATCAGAAATGTGGGACCTGGGGGTCCCATGTTCTAACCTTAGACAGTGGGGCCACCCAGAGTCCTGCTCACTGACGGCATCTGTGGAACAGCAGCTGGGAGTCTGGGGGCCTCTGGCTCCAGGCCACACGGGCAGCAGGGTCCAGCCAGGCTGGAGGCCGGTCGCTGCAGACAGCAAACGAATTATGAAACGAGGCAAGCCATCCAAGCGGGCTGGTGTGGGGTGGGCAGGGGACTTTGCCCCACGTCGCCTTCTCCTGTTCTGTTCACCGTGCAACGGCCTGGCCCTCTCCCTTTCTTCCTCCTGTCTTTCTGCTTTCTCTCTTCTGGTCCTTTTCTCTGCTTTCTTCATCTTTTCTCCTTCCCTCCCTCTTTCCCTTTCACCCTCTCCCCTCCCAGCCCTACCCCCGCAGTTACTGTGGCAACAATTCAATGGCAGAAATAAAGGCAGGATCCAGCTAGGTCACCAGTTCCCAAAACAGCATCCCGGGTGGGGAGGAGCAGGGCGGGCTCAGCAGCGCAGCACAGCAGGGCAGGGGCCAGGCGCTCCCATGGGTGCTGTGCATGTGATGTGGGTGGGGCAAGGCACCTTGTTCCCCCATCCCCCCTGGAAAAGGACACCAGGAGGCTGAGGCCTGCTCTAGGCCAGTGGCTCATCAGAGGTGTCCCTTACTTAGGGAAAGCCTGAAGCCCAAGTCTATTCTAAGGCTGACAGAGCCCGGGAACTCCCTCCTCTTCTCCCAGTTTCTCCTTCTTCCCCACTCCAATGTTTTTTACCCTTGTGTCTGCTAGGATGAGGGTTCCCCTGACCCAGCACTGCAGGGCATCCTCTCACACTCAGATACAGGACCAAGCGTGGGTGCGTGCGGAGCTCAGAGTGCCCCTGCTCTAGGCCTGGCCTCCCCTGTTCTCTTGATAACAACAAAACCGGGCCTGGGTGCCCCCTCCGGCCCCTCTCCTGGCCCCTGACCCACCCAGAGATGCATGTGCAGCCATCTTCTCCCAGGTCTTTCTCTGGCTGGGTTTCTGCGTGCCCTCTGCACCCTCCCTCTGAAGAGGCCCCGCAGCCCCTCAGGCTGACTTGGCAGGTCCTGCTCCCCTCCATTTATGGCTGGTCCTGTTGTACAAATGGGCCTGGCAGAGCGGGGAGAGACGCAGCCTCAATTCAGCTTTCTAGATTCTGGGGCCTCCCTGTTCTGGTCTCCATAACACCTGGGAGTTCTAGCAGACGGATTCTGCAGACATCGGCCCACCAGCGGACAATGTGACCCAGGAGTCTGACACCTGGCCACAGAGACAAGATGGATGGGTGCGCACAGGCAGAAGCGCCCACCCTGAAACCACGGCAGGATTTACGCACGCGGTGCACACGGGGAGACTCCGAAGCCCTGTGTGCCAGCTTACGCCCCCACTCTCCCATCGAGGCCCCTCACAGTGACATGCAGTGCTGCCAACACCCACTCACACCCACCCACCGGTCCTCTCCCTGGCATCCCTCCCAGAGCTGCGCACGTGTACAGCAACACAGTGAGCCCTCCACTTCCCCAGTCCCGGGGCCTTCCCCGGGCTCCCTGTTCCCAGAACCCAACTGCCTTCCTTGCATTGGACCTGTCCCTGCTCCTCTGACTCTCACAACCAGGCAACCGGTCCCCAGGAAAGGACACACCAGGTGTGTCTGCCCCGGAAAGGGTGCCAGGCCTTCTGGGCCCCGAGGGACAGAGCTAGGGAGGTGGAGCCCCAGAACCCTGTGGGGGCTGCATGTCTGCTCAGCCCTGGCCCCTTCAAGCACCCTGGCAGTGGGGACGGGGAAGCACTGAGCACTGGGCTTGGGCCTGCAGCCTCGCCCTGTCACTGCCTCACTCCTCACTCAGCCCCACCCCAGCCTGGCTAGCCACTGTCTGGGAGCAGGCTCCCTTCCACTCCCCGTAAAAACCAGGCACCAAACCAACAGCCTCAGGCCCCTAAATGAACTGCTCCAACCCCCAGGGTGGAGCACTGGTGGGAAGGCCAGCAGGACTTCCTCTCCCAGCATTCAGCAGAGAGGGAACACTCCCCTGCCCACAGTCCCATACCCACGGTCCTGTCCCTCCCATTGCTGGCCTGCTCAGCTAGGTTGGCAGGGCAGAGAGGCTAGGGAAGAGGGAATTGGGCTCGTAGCAGTTCTCATCCTTGGGCTGAGAACACCCCAGACCCTCTTCCCCAAATCAGAAGGAGATTCCATTAGATCAGGCCCAGCTGGTCCCAGGGGCAGACCCATCCGCCCACTGAACAGGGCCCACGGTGGGCTCCCCCCTCACCTGGTACCCTGCCACCACCCAAAGCCTGGCTCACCAGCAAGTGCTGTGGCCTAGAGTGCCCACAGAAGGGAGGAGAGGCGGAGACCCTGCCACCTACCTCTTCCCAGACAGTGTGGCCCAGACGCTCTGAGGCCACAGAGGCCCGAGAGGCGCAGGCCAGATCCACCGGCTGGCACTTCCCCCAGGAAGGTAATCGGCGTCTCTTCCAGGAACCCAGCCGTGCTTCCCCGGAGCACAAATAACAGGAAAAAAGCCGGCTTGGGGTGGGTGGGCGGGGTGGGAGCTGGTGAAGGAGGGGAGCTGGTCTCGGCTGAGCAGTCTGATTTCCCCTTTGAGGCCCCACCCGCTTGGCCCCCCACCCTGCTTCTCTGCAAGCCTAGGCCTCCTGGATCCCCTTCCCCGGTACTGGGGAGTCCTCGTCTGGGGGCGGGCGAGCTGGTGGCTCCCCCACGCCCTCCCCGCGCCCTCCCCACCTCCAGCTGATAGCGTGTGGCCGGCGAGGGTGTGTGTGTGGATGTGTGCGCTCTTCCACCAGCGCTGCAGCTCAATCCATTTCAAACAAGAGGAGCATTAACCCAGCGTCATGACGAAGCAGAATCAGCCAGCACTGTCCTCTCCCTTTCCCACACCCCAGCCTGCAGCACTCACACTCACACACACCTACATGTACTCAGAGCCCCTCAGCCTCCTCTTAAACAGCCAGAGTTCAAGTTGCTGTGGGTGGTGGGCGGGGGGGGGGAAGGGGGGCTACTGATGACCCAGGGGGATGATGCCTGGTTTCTCCAGACACCTGCACCTCCTATCCTGTTCAGGACAACCCCATCATCTGACAGCAGCAACTGAGGTCTCTGGGGGCTCAGCATCTCGAGGTGCGGGTACAGGCACAGGCCAGAATTGGTCACCCAAGGATGCACTGTCTCCTGGGAGGGCAGAATTGAGGGGTGCCACCAGGTCCCCAGGACAGAGACTTGGGCTGGCCCCTCGGTAACCTGAATCCTCCAAGAATGCCAATGGAATGCAGCAGAGAGAGAGAGAAGGACCCCATCTCTCCCTAGGACAGCTTCACGAAAAGGGAGTTTCCTGCCAGGTGACCCCTGGGTCCCAACACAGAGTTTACAGGCACGTGCCTTCCCTGTCTTGAGCAAAGCCTCGACCACCCCAGGAGCGTCATTGGCCTTTCAGGCCCCCTGGGCAGGATGAGGAAGGGCAACGAGCCTTGCCCTCGACTCTCGACTCTCGCCCTGGCCCCAGCGTCCTCCACCTCCAGACCACAGACTTGCCTACCTAGGCAGCCCTCACCGTTGCCCTGGCAACCGCTGCCCACAGCCAGTCAGCTGATGGTATCAGCTGTTGTTGGGGAAATCTAGAATCTGGGGAGGGGGCTCTGGGTGTCTGAATGGAGGAGCACGGGGGAGGGACTTGAGGGAAGAGATCAGGAGGGGACAGAAAGTATGTGGCTGGTGGGGACAGAAAGGAAGGTAACCTGAGGGATGGGCTCCAGAGAGAAGGGAGGGAGGAAGGAGGCAGGTGGCTGAGAGAGGAGATGGAACACAGGCAGAGCTGCAGACACAGGCGGAGCTGCTGCAGCCGGTGAGGAGGCCGTGAGCTACAGAGAAAACCTGGGGGTGGGGGATGAAGTGTCGGATCTGTGGAACTGTGGAGAAAAAGGCCAGGAGTGATGTGGGAGGGGGTGCACCTCTAATGTGGCAGGAGGGGGCACAGCCCTGGAGGAGGAGCCACCCCGGCCATCGCTCCACAGCCAGCCTAGCCTCGGCCCAGCCTCTCGGTTTTCTGTCCCTTCAACCCCACACTTACTGCCCTCTGATCAGGGTCTGAGAGACAGAGAGGAAGCCCCCGCCCACTCCAGCCCTAGACCATCTCTCTCTGTCCCTCCTGCACCGGGGGCTTTGACACCTCAGCCCTTTAGGATTCCTGAGCCCCCCATCCCGACCTGGGTTCCTCCCCTGCTGTTGGCCATCCCCTACCAGGCCCCCACCCCAGGAGAGCTGTCTTCTGGTGCAAGGGTCCCAAGAGGCAGAGTTGGAATGAGCTGATGCCAGGAAGGACAGCTGTGGTCAGGGACCTGGAACGAGGTGGGTGATGAGGGATGGGTAGGATCGCTGGGCCTGGGAGGAGGGGTGCCTCCTCCTATGGAAACCAGCACGTGTGGGGCAGAGTGGGGGGAGCCAAGGGGAAAGGGTGGAGGGGAGAAGGAGGGGAAGGTGCTCAGTACCTTCAAGGGCCCAGGGCGTGGGGCAGGAGCGCAGCAGCCTCCTCGGTGACATCCACCTCCATCCCTCGGCGCATCTCCTCTCCGCCTCCCGTTGCCAAGACAACCTGCCGGCAGCTCAGGCCCGGCTCAGCCGAGGCGGCAGGGAGGGGGAGGAGGAAGCTGTGGCTCCTGCTGCCTATTCCTTGGAGATGGAAGGAGGGAGTCTGAGGGTGGACCCTCAGTGCTGGGGCTGGGGTTAGAGGATAGCTTCAGGAGCTAGGGTGCCCAGTGAACTCCACCAAGTGCCCCATCCCCCCACTTCCCTTTATAAGGCTCTAGAATTTCCTCTAGGGGTGACCTCAGGAGAACCCTAATTCAGGGCCAGAGAGCAGGCCAGTCTTGAAAAGCGTGCAGCGCTGGGGAGAGTTCCCACTCCAGAAAGCCAGAATGGAGCTCGGGGCGGTGACAGACAGCAAGGCAGGGATGGTCCCTGTGCTGAAGGGCCAGAGGGGTGGCTTCGGCAGGGTGCAGAGTCCCCTGGGTGCTGGCAGCACTGGGCACGTGGCTGCAGGCCCCGTACCTCCGCCATCTCCATGTGAGCACCTTCTCCTGGTCCCTCAAGGGGACCTTTCAGTCCCCTTGAAGAAGGGGACCTTCTTCCAGTCCCTCAAGGTCCCATTCCCACTGCCCCCACCATGCCCGAGTCCCACATTCCATCAGAATGTCCCTCCACGGGTGGGCGGGTGGGGTGGGGGGGCCACCTCGGGCAGGAAGAGTGCTCAGCCCAGCCAGGCCTGGACCCGAGGGGACTGCAGAGTGAGGGCTCCCTCTGTCGACTTGAGTAGTGGTAGCTGCCAAGGTCATTTTGCTGCCAGGGATCTGGGCTGTGTGTGTGTGTGTGTGTGTGTGTGTGTGTGTGTGTGTGCGTGCGCGTGTCCATGGGTATGTATGTGTGTGTTGGTGGTGGGCATCCAGAGGGGAGGCAAGGGGACCCTTCTTACCCATGCCATCCCCTGCCCCCACCTCGTCTCTCTCCTTGTCCTATGAACTCACTCTGCCTCCAGCCTCCTCCCCCTGGGAAGGCCTCTGACCCCTCAAGGACGGCTTGTCTGAGAGGGGAGGTTCCACCTACCCTGAGGCTGGCAACGCTGAACAACGGGTGCCTGTTAGCTCAGACCCCAAGCGGGGGCTTCCTCAGCTCTGCTCCGTACCAAGCAGGCAGGCGGCAGCTGCCAGGGCTCGCGTGCCTTTGAAAGTTCAGGAGTTCTCAAGACCTTAAGGATGGGTGCTTTTGTCCATAACGCAGGGCCAGGGCTCCTGTGTCTCTCAGGCAGGGGGTCCCAGGACCCCGGACGATGCCCTGTTCTTGGCTCCTTTCCCCACAAGGTCACTGGTGCCAGATGTCCTGGGTTAACTCGGGCCCCGCTGCCTCCTCCCTCCCCTGGGCCCTCTCCATAGGCCTCTCTGTCCACAACTGGGCTGTCTCACTCACTCCAGTGCCCCCGGCCCCACCCCACACACCAACCTGCTGGGCGGGGAAGCACCAGGAGCGCCTCCCCATGCTATCTAAATATTAACTCCTGGAGAGGTGGAGCCTGGGCACCTGGACATTCAGGCAGGAAGGAAAGGGCGACAGGGACCTGAAGAAAAGGAAGGATGAGGGCCCCAAGGTCTCCATTCTCATCAGGGATTGGGAGCCATGTTTCCCTGCTTCCGGGCACTGGACTCTGCTGCCCGGACCCCAGAGACTCCGCTCCTCCAACATGCTGCCACCAGACCACAGTCATCGGGTGCCCCCAAAACCCTTCCTGATCTCCTCCCTGCCACAGCATAAGGATCAAACTCTTCATCATTTGACCCAATCACTTCCTGCCACTTCTCTACACAAATTTCAGCTCCAGCTAAGTAGACGGACTGCTCCCCTTCCCTGGAGCACACCTCCCATTTTCCTGCCTCTAAGCCTTGATTTTCGCGCCCGTTTTTCTGCTTCTCATTTTCTGCTTTGTGCATCTTTTCTCCACTGAAATCATGCAAATGCCAGGCCTCCCACAAAGCTCCCCCACCTTGGCCTATGCTCTCTCCTGCCCCAGAACCCACGGTGCCTGGGCAGGGGAGTGGAGAACCTCGAACACAAGGTGTGGAAGCTGGGCAGAATCTCGGGTGCAGTGCTCACTAGCTGTGAGACCGTGAATGGCCTGGTGCCTCTGAGTGTGAACTCAGCCACGTGTGCTACGTGGGAACATCTCACCGCCCTAAAGAAGGGGTGCAAGCCAGTGTCCCTGCACATCTGCTGAGCTTGGTACATATTAGTTTCCTTATTTCCAATAATTCTTATCTCCCCTTTCCCTCTTTGGGGATGTTCAAAAAAAAAAAAAAGAAAGAAAGAAAAAAGAAAGAAAGAAAGCTTTGTTATACCATGTGTAAGAGAGGGATTTCCAAATGTCCCACCCAAGAATTGCCTTTTTATGGGTTTATCCCTCCAATTAAATCTCAAGTGCCTTGAGAGCTCTATCTTGTCCATCTTTTTTATTAACGGAAGGATTAGCACAGGGCTTGAATGCTGTGGGGGAAAAAGAAATACTGGGACTGACTGCTTAAGCCCTCGCCCCGCCCACATCTGCCTAAGGAAGGAGGGAGAGCACAGGATTCTGGCCTCTCTCCTGCCTCTGCCTGGAGGGACAGTCGGGTGCTGGGCCAATGACTTCTTTCTGGGTTTTCAGGTGATTTATTTCCTCAGTAAACACCCTGTCCAATGTACTGCACTGGGCATGGTGGGGGAGGAAAATATGGACTATTTCTACGTCTGGGGCACTTGCTACTTAGCGGGATCATGACAAGCACATGCATTATGACAGTTCTGGACAAGCTATGACAAGCACCATAAGGCAAGGACAAGTGAATGGCTGGAGAGACCAGTGGCGGTGGGGACAGTCGCTCATCCCAGGGAAGTGCCAAGAGCCTGTGGAGCAGAGGAGGAGCCCGTGGTCTGGGTGTGCATGTGCGCTAGAGCAGGACATGCCAGGTGACAGGAACCCTTCAAATGAGGATGGGGGCCTGCTTGCTTGATAGAGTTCGTTTTTCAGTGTTCTTAAAGGGGAATTGTGGGGCTAGGGCTGAAGAGGGAGACAGAACAGGGCCAGACCGGAGTCTTAAAGATGACACTAAGGAGTGTGGCCAGGACGGTGTGGCCTGGGTGGAGCTGTGGTTGATGGTGGGGAAGGTGAGTGGGGCCAGCTTGGGTGTCCTGGAGTGGAGGGCAGTGTTGGGAGGCACACAGACGATTCCGGGAGTGAGTGCAGATTTAGACAGATCCCAGTGAGGCCTGGTCATGGTGGAGAGCCCCAGAGTTCAGGAAAGAAAGCAGTTACCCACAAGGAGGGCAAGGAGTTGGTGGCTGAGATGCTGAGGTTGCTCAGAGAGGCAGCAGGCAGGCGAAGAGCAGAGTGGGAGGGACTCTCAGGAAAGGGTCCTCTGTGAGGAGGGGAAAGAGAAGCCTGAATGGCAGGCCGAGGGGAGTGGGGGTGTCTCTTTGCCAGGGCAAGCACTTAGGGCTGAAGACGGTGATGACAGAGGCAAGGCTTTCGGCTTGGTCCCTGGAAAGTCACTGTCTCAGCGTCAGAGGGACAGGGTTGAATAGACTGATGTAAATGGAACCAGCTCGTGTGGCCTAAAGAGTGAGTGATTGTCCCCCTTGGATATCCTGCTCGGCTCTCCCCTGCCTCATCTGGCTGTTTGCAGGACAGCACAGAGAAGGGAGGTCAATATGGGAGCTGTTCTTAGTGAGCATTCTTGGTAATCCCAAACTGGCATCAGATTTGAGGCACTGGTGGCTGCTGCTGCCACCTCCCTCCACTGGTCACATTCCCCCCTAAAGGGGTTCATGTTTCCCCAACAGCAAGGGGCAACTAGCAATTAGCCCCCTGTGGCCACTCCTGCTCACACCTGCAGAGACCCAGGCGCTCAGAGGCGAGCAAGGCTGCTGGAGCCAGGTGTGGCCTGAGGACCTGGGGAAGCCTCCTTCCTGCCCACCGCCTAGCTGTGCCTGTTCAGTCCCCTCCGAAGTGCCAGCATTAGGGATCCACTCTTGTGATTTCTTCCTTTTAGCATCTTCAAGGTCACCACTAGTTCAGGGGAAACGAGCTGAACAGATTTCCAGAGCCTGAAAAGCCACCTGGGGCACGGTGCCCTGGGAGAGGCGCTGAGAGGTTTGGTGAGGAGAAGGCTCAGAGCTCAGCCAGAGACCCAGGGACCCAAGGCAGGAGCAGGCACTGGGCACCTGAGGGCTGGGCTGGGGTGAAGGCTCTTCCTGGGACAGCACAGGCCTCCGGAGCGGCCCTCCCTCTCCCTCTCCCTTCTCTGTCCCTCCCTGTCTCACCTCAAAAAGCAAGAAAGAAAACAGTGAGGGCTTTCTGGAGCCAGCCCCCAGAGGCCTGTCGGTGCTGGGGAGGTCAGAGAGGGAGGGAGGGGCCGGAGAAAGGCCGTGAAAAAAGCAGAGGCAACACAAAGGGCCCGGTCCACCTTTGAAGCCGTCTCTAACCCGAGCGAGGGAGGGGTGGGAGTGGGCTGGAGAGCCGGCTAGCAGGGAGGCAGTCTAGAGTTTTAAAGAATGTCTCAAATTCCTGCGGAAATCAGAGGGATTGTAACAGCCCCCCTCCGCATTACACCTCCTTCCCAGCCACCCCCCAAAGTCCAGTTCTCTACACCTGGGGGGCCCCCAACCCTTTGTTCTCAAGTAATTGCTGGGTGTTGCCCCCGTTTTAAAGTCCCATTGAACTCGCCAGTTATCAGCTGAGGCTCCAGACCACCCTCCCGCCACACATCCTAGAAAACTACCCCCAACACCGCACGGTCTTCACTGGGATTAAGGCTCTTTGTGATGGGGGAGAGAAAAAAGTAACCTGGTGAAAAGCAATTATGACGAGCAGTAGGGAGAATGTCTGTCCCAGGGCCGGGGACCTCCCTCTTGGCCGCCGCTGTCCCCACCTTCTAAATTGCCCAGTGGTGGGGGTGTCAGACTCTGCGCTGGCCCTCACCATCAACGGGGCTGCAGCTGCGCCCACCTCCCACTGTCACTGGACCAGGGCCCTTCCCCACTTCCTCTTCTTTCCTTATTTTTAGGCCATGGTAGGGAGCAGAGAGAAGGGACGTCTTTCATCCTCTCTCCGTAATCCCCCTCCTCAAGGTAGTCTCAGAAGGAAGAGGGAGGGGAGAGGAAGCAGGCTGGAGGGAGTACATCCGCAGAAGAGAGGGCTTAGTGAGGGAAGGGGAAACTGAGGCCGGGGGGCCATCCTCAAAAGAGGGGGCTCCCTGAGGGTAGGGGAAACTAAGACTGGGGGGCTATCCCCAGAAGAGGAAGCTCCGTAAGGGAAGGGGAAACTGAGGCTGGGAGGCCATCCCCAGAAGGCTCAATGAGGGCGTTCTCCCTGAAGAGCTGACCAGGTTGCGGGGGGTGTCCCAGTGACTAAGGACCTCCCCCTGGACATGATTAAAAGCCAGCGGACAGAAGAGGCGGGTTTTATGGCCCGCGAGTTCCACTCCCCACACGCACACCTGGAGGCCCCTGGGAAAGCCCACCGGAGAAGCTGGGGTGGGGGCAGGGCCACCCCTTCCTCCCCGCCCCGCTCGTCCCCTCCCCCGCGCCATCCCGGCTGGGCCGCCGCCTTTGAGATTTGCCCTCAGGTGTGGCCCCCGCCCAGGCCCCGCGGGGACCCGAGAGGACGGGGTACGCCTTCTCGCCCCCTCCCCCTTCCGCCCGCCCAGCCCCGCTCCCCGCCCCCGCCCTCCTCACCGGAAAAAAGCAATCTGGCTGCCCAAGGAGGCTCCTGGCGTCCGCGGGTCGCTCGGGCCCCGCAGGGCTCCGTAGAGCCCTCGCCCGCGCCTCGGGCCTGGGCCTGGGCCCGTCCCCTCCGGGGGCTCGAGTTTTCTTCCCCAACAGGTAGCACGGGCCGCGCCGCGCGAGCCCAGGAAACCCGAGCCCGCGCCAGGGAGGGGCCGCCCGGCCTGGACGCTCCCTGGACCGCCCGCCTCCCGCGGGGCCGAGCCCGCAGCCTCCCGGGGCCCCGGCGCTGCGGGCTGTGCCTGCACCTGCCGGGCCACGCCTGGCCGGGACGGACAGGCTGGTTTCCAGGGGTCCCGTGGTCGGATCCCCCACCCCGCTTCAGATAACCCGTTTGCAGGAAAATGGTTTTATTCTGAGGATGGGAGTTGGGGGTGGGGTGCAGGCCTGGGTCGCGGAATGTGAGGAGTGGCCAACCATCTATTCTCTCTCTTTCTCTCCCCCTCTTTCTTTTTTCCTGAAACAAACAAAAGTCCCTTCCTACAGTCCGGCCAGGAGGAGTTTGGGGGCTGGGGGCAGACTGAGGGAGACCCGGGAGCAGATTTTGAGGACAGCCACCTCCAGACGGCGTCTGCAAGGTCTCGAGGACCCGGCCTTTCAGGAGCCCGGCTGGGAGGCCGGCGGAGGCTGGCGGCTGAGACCAGGGTGACACTCAGTTCCTCTCCAGGGCCTGCCACCCGGGCCACTGTGCCAGCCGCCCCTGGGGCACCGGCCTGCCCCTTCCCAGCGGGGGGGGGGATGGGAGCTAGCTGCTTCGCGGCCCTCCCGCCACCCAGCCCAGTCCTTGGAATTAAGAAGGGAAGGGGATGGGGAGGCGGCCAAGGGGTGTTGCCCCATGCCTTCCTGACTACGTGAGGGGCTGGGGCCGCCGCGTGCGCTTGGTCCGGCGCGTGGGGGCGGAGCCCACAAACTCGAACTGCTTCTGCTTGTCAGCGTGGTTGGGGAAGGGCAGCTGGCCCTGGTAGAGGCGCTTGATGAAGTGGGCCTCGCGTTGGTTTTGGCGGCTGCGGGAGGCCTGGCGGGGCCGCCCCTGCCGCGTGAAGGCCATGAACCAGCCCTCGTGCCGGGCATTCTGGAAGGCCGTGTAGTTGTTCTCTAGCACGATCTCCGTGAACACGCAGTCTTTGCTCTTCCCGCTGGGCTGCGGGAGAAGCAGGAGAGGAAGGGCATTGTCCACCTACCCTGGTCTGAGGTGTCTGCCCTTAGGGCATCTCTCTTGGAGGACGGAGGAGGGACCACGGGAACAGTAGGGCCCTGAGCCCAGGGAACTCTGCCTGGTTTTGAAATGGCATCCTAGTTAGAAAGGCAACAGTGGCCAAAACACACTGCGGATCTGAGTTGCAGGCTTGTCATTTAGCAGCCCTGTACGAGGCTGGGCCTCAGCTTCCTGAGATGCAGGTGGAGATCAAGGTCCTGCCACGGTTCTGAGCGTGCCCGTGCCCTTAGCACTGAGAATGCTCATGCAGCCTGGGTGAGTGGTGCAGCTGGGCGCGGGAGAGGAGGCAGCAGCCTCCAATGAGAAGAAAGGGTGCCAGCGTGGCCACCCATACCACCCTGCCAGCAATCTGGGGGTTGTGCCCATTTCTGCAGACAAGAAGCCTGAGGCTTGAGAAAGAGAAGCAAACCAGAAGTTATGTGGTCACAGCAGCCATAATGGGAGGCTGGGACTGCCTGATTCCAAACGAAGTGGAATTCACCTACCCCACAGGGCTGGGCCCACTGTGCGGTTTGGTGGCAGCAGCCGCTTAGCATGTATCTTGTGAGCTGGAGCCCCTCCACCCCCGGCCCCACTGAAGGTGGGGGAGTTCCTGCCTTACCTCTGTGCCCCACTTTCCACCCTCAGCTGCCCTTACTCCTCCACCCAGAAGCTGCAGTGTCAAGTAGATGCTAAACTCTTCCTGATGCCTGCTGGAGAAATACTCCTGACATCAGCCCACCATCCTGTGGCTCGCCAGTCCCCTCAGAGGGCTAACAGAGTCCCAGTGACTCATTTAAATAGAGAAACCTGGCCAGGCTCATTGGCTCCCAGCACTTGGGGAGGCTGAGGTGAGAGGATCAGCCCATGAGTTTGTAGAGACAGTGCCTCACTATGTTGCCCTGGCTGGTCTCAAATAAAAAATTAGCTGGGCATGGTGGCATGCACCTATAGTGCCAGCTACTACGTGGGAGGCTGAGGCGAGAGGATCGCTTGAGCCCAGGAGTTCAAGGCTGCAGTGGGCTACGATTGTGCTACCGCACTGCAGCCTAGGTAGCAGAGCCAGACTGGGACTCCAAAATAAAATAAAGAAACCAGAGAGTGGCCCAGTGGGTGGCTGGGAGTGGGGTGGGAAGTCTTTGTGCAGGAGGGTGTGGCTCAGAGGAGGGATAGGGGAGCGGGCTGCCCTGTGTGTCTCCACCCTAGAAGTCCTGATTCTTTGTTCCTTTCCAGTCTCCCGCCTCACCTTCCCGATGAGCTTGCCCCTCTTGTTCATACAGATGTACTTCTCGCTCTCAGCCCCTTTGATGCGAACCCGGCTGCCAAACGTGTCGGTCTCCACTATGAGCTTGGCTGTGGTGGGGCAGGGGAGAAAAACCTCCGTCCATCGGGGCTGCCGGCCCATGGCTACGACAGGGGACCGCCCAGCCACACTGACCTCCAGACTCAGGCGAGGGGGTTGGGGATGCTCAGGGCCTTGGGGCCCTCAGCCCTGACACAGGATCTGGGAATGGACCAGGAGGTGAGGCAGGGTGGAGGTGTGGGTGGCCTGGGGGGAGGGCCAGCTCTCACCAAACTTGTTGCCGTCCTCAGCGGTGGCGGAGATGCGACGCCCGGTGACCTGCACGTGCTTGCCGCTGGTCCGGCTGTAGAGCTGGTACTCGCGGATCTGCCGCCTGCTCAGCTGGTCGGTCATGGCACCCTGGTCCCTCACGTACTGGTTAAAATTAGGAGACGGGTGATTCTCCCCCTTTGCGGTTACCAAGGGAAAAATAGTGTCAATTTGCTTTGGGTGACACCACCGCTGGTCCATCCAAGGGAGAGGGGTGAGGAGGTGAATGTAGTGGGGACAGGCCACTGGTCCTGCAGAGTGAAGAGGGCATATGGCCATAACCTTCCCAGGCCCCTGGGTGAACCAGCCGGTCATAACCTCTTGGCTTTGCATCTACCCTAGAGCAGGGGTGGTCTGCCCAGGCTGGGGAACACTTAGTGACAGAGCGCAGCCCTGGAATCAGGACCCTGGGAGGTGGAAGGAACCTTCAGGGTTCTATCCCATCCTTATGTTCTATGGAGGAGGTGCACAGGGTACACAGCTCATTAGGGACAGAACCCCTGTCCCTGCCTCTTAGACCAGAGCCTGGCACCTCCCTGCAGAACTCCAGGGACATGGCTCCATTAGCCAGGACCATTAGATTCCTTCCTGATCCTCCCCACTGTCCTTGAAAGGCCCCTTGCCTAGCACACAGGGGCACAGAGCAGATGGTGCTTCGAGTTAGAGTTGCCAGAGAGCATGTAGGGGTCTCTGGAGGCTCCTGCAGGGCCCCGTGAACATGTCTTCTCAGCACTAACCAGGGAATCCTGGGCTCATACCCATCTTCTGCCCGGCCTCGACCCCTGGTGCTCAGGGCCCTTCCAGCATTCCTCCCTCCTCTATGGGCTGGCGCTGGGGCTAGGGCTGGGCACTAAGGGACAGCAGGCAGGCAAGGTGCCTCCTTAGCGGAGGGAGGCAGAGGCAGCACCGAAAGGAGAGGCGCTATCAGCAGTGGGCCAATGGCTGCCCCTGCCAGGCGGCTCCTTTGCCACAATGTAACAGAGGCTCCCCGCCAGTTGGGGGGATGCGCCCACCCACCTGCTTCCCCTTTGGAGGGTGGGGAGAGGAGCCATTTCCCCCCACGCACTGTGCAAAGCCAGGAGGGGTGCTGCCTCCCAGCTAGGTCTCTCCTTTCCCATCTGTAAGGTTGAGTGGGGGAGCCCCGGTGTACTGCTTGCCCTCCATCCTGCAAGGTGCCACCCAGGCTAGGCTTCCCAGCTGCTGGCAACAGCCTGAGCTCCAGCTTGAGAATGCACCTTTTGTGTTGTTTCTCTCTCCACCTGGATGCTGCTGCCTGTGCTGGGATGGCTTTCCCAGCCCCTGCTCCAAATCCCTAATTCCACCTTTATCCCAGGCCCAACCCCAGCCATCTGGACAGAGCCAGACCGGGGTCAGCATCTGTTAGGGGCTACTCTCTCCTAGGAAGGGGTGGTAAATACCACCTTTGAGGAGGGGAATGAGGGAGCAGCTCTGGGGCTGGCCGTTTTCACCTGCGCAGGGTTAACCCTTCCTGTGCACTGTTGCTCATTTCCAATTGCAGTTCCCCATAGAGCAGCCTCTGCAGGACCTGCCCCTCGCCCCACCCTGGAGCATTTGGGGTGGGGGACCTGCCCAGCCTGCCCCTCGCTGGCCTCCCTGCCAGGGGGTGGGGTCCTGCCTGTCCCAGCCCCGCCTCCTGGCCCAGGTTCAGGCCCTCCGCCCCTCTTGGCTGACAGCCTCCTCTGGCAGTCTGTTCCAGGTCAGGAGCAGAGAGCGCCCCCGCAAGCCCCCTCCTCTCCTTGTCCCCCTTCAAGCCTTTCACAAAGGCAGCCCCACGCCCCCCCCACAGTCCACAGCCCACAAGTCCCTCTCCCCGCGGGACCTAGCCTGTCCCTTTCATGTTCCCGCTGCAGGGGGACCTCCCCTTCCACCACTGCAGACAGCTGCTTGTCAGACGGCCCCTCAAGCATGGCTGTGGTCCGGTCTGCTGGCCCCCCCTCCCAGGGGGGTGAGGGGGCACTTCAAGGGGGAAAGGACCGCTTTGCCACCTTCCCTGAGTCCTGAATGGGGCCTCAGCCAGGCCATAAACGCCTGGCCAGCAGCACCATTGTGCTAGTTCCCTTCCAGAACAGGTTGGGCCCACCCCCAGCCCCCTCCCAGCCTGGCTGGGGGCTTTCTTCTGGCTCCCCCTGGATGTGTGAAGCAAAAGGCCTGGAACGGGGCTGGAGCAAAAGGGGGAAGGAAGGGGGGGGGAGTTGTCTCTCCCTCTCCCACCCCCCCACTGCTTCAAAGGCTGCCCCTTTCCCTCTCCCAGAGAAAAGGCATTTACCTTCAAAAAAAGTCCCCACTGGATATGAAGAGAAGCGGCCTCTGGCCTGGGAAAGCCAAGCGATCTCTCCCCAGAGCGGTTCTGGACCAGTGCATTTTAATAGCTGCACTTTTATGGAGGATCACAAAAAAGGGAGCAAGCCTCGCACTGGGGGCTGAGACTTGGGGGTGGGAGGTGTGCATGGAAGGAGGTGGGGGGCCGACATGGGGTGGGGGGAGCGTGGAGAAGCAAACCCTGCATCCCATCCCAAACAGTCCTCTTCGGGCTTGACCTCTGTGCCCTCTAGGTGAGAAGTCACCTCACCCTGGCCGGGCATTCTGGACATGCTCATGAGACACCCCCCCACACCGGGCACCCATATTGATGGAGTCAGGTGGCCAGAGGGACATACAAGTGATTTTGCATCGAAACCTATCCTTTCAGGTACTGGCAAACCCAAGCCTCACCTGAGCCATCACCGCCACCCACTTCCAACCGATCCAGGGCTCCGTACCTCAGGTCCGGAGTGCCAACATTAGCTTTATGGGGGAACCCGGTGGAGAGGGATGGAGAGGAGCAGAGACCCAGGGGAAGCCAGGAGGGTCCTCAGAGGGAGGACAGAGATAACACCAAGTCAGCCCCCTTCCCTGCCCTCCCTGTCAAAGGCTCACTCCCCTCCAAACCTCAGCGCCTCCTGGACCCGGGGAGAGGCCAGACTCTGCCTCTGCCCATCTGAAAGGAGCAGGTTCCCTGCACCCGCCCCAGTTAGATGGGGTGGGAAAATCGGGGTAAAGCCGGTGGGAGCGCCCGCTTACCTGAGTTTGACAGCAGAGAATCAGCAGCTGGAAGCACCTGTGAAGGTGGAGGAGGTAAGCCCAGGTGTGGGTGCCAGCCACACCCCAGGGTGCACCTGGGCCCCCGCCCCAACCCTGCCAGCCTTGTGCGCACACGCGTGGGAGTCCTGGGAAGAGGTGGGCTGCCCTGAGGCTGGAAATGGCAAAAAACTCAGTGGGAGAGGCAGCACACTTACAGAGTGAGGTTGGGCAGCAGGCGGGCGGCTCCCATCGCTGGAGAGGTTCTTCAGGCGGTTGCCCCCCTGCCCCCAAGCTCAGGAGCAGATGTGGGCAGTCCCCAGGAGTAGAGTCCCAGAGAAGCCAAGGTCTCTCCAAGCCACAGGTTTTCAGGGGGGCGAGGAGGAGAGAAAGGGGAGGAGGAGGAGAGAGAAGAGGGAGGAGGAGGGGGAGGAGGAGGGCGTAATTGGGAGACTGAGGTATGAGGTGTCCACCTTCCTGGCCAGTGAGGCTGCAAAGCAGATGCGGGTGGGGGTGTGTGCGCTGTGCCCTCTGGGCTGCCCCTCTCTCCTGGGCCACCCGGTGCAGGGATGGAGCAGTGGGCACCTCTTGAAGGAGGTCTCCTGCTCTATTCCTGACCCTCACAGACTGGCCAAACTTGATGCAGGCAAGCTCAATGTGTGGCAGGCAAGGGAGGGGGAGCCCCTCCTCCCCTCTCTGGGGCTGCAGTCTCCTACCCTAAGGTCTGGTGCCCCACCTCCCTAAGGGTGAGCTGCAGGTGTCAAGCGGGGCTGGGGTCTCTGGCTCTGGGTCTGGAGTGGAAATTCCCAGAAGCAGCCTTAAAAGGAGGAGCCTCCCTCCAGGGGGCAGGGGTGGGCTTGGCTTGGAGCAGCTGATTGTGGGGAAGGAGGGGTTAAGGCTGCCCTGAGCAGCAGCAAATAGTGGGCATAACAGGTTGGGGGTCAGAAGTGGATTGGCAGGTACAGTTGGAGGTCTAGGAAGAATCCCAATTGACAGTTGGAAAAGCTGGCCTGAGACGGATACTGGGAGAAGAGCTGGGTGTCCTGGCCTACGCCCCTTTTCCCTGGGCCTCTGTAGTGCCATCTGAGAAATGAGGACAGCAATGCCTCAGGACGTTGGGGGGTCAAGTGTGAAATCATCACACAGCAGACTTCAAGATGTCTGTGTTCTGAGACCCAGGTCCACTCACCATTCCGCATCCTGTTCCTTCTCATGCCTGTCCCTGGAGCCTCTCTGAGCTAGGAGCAGCTCAGCGTCCCCTCCCTGTGTCCTGTGTCCCTGAAATGAAGTGCCTACCAGCCTCTTCCTATGACCTCCAGTCCCACACAGCTCAGTACCATGCCAGTGACTAGCCCATTTTGTAGATGAGGAAACTGAGGCACACAGGTAGGTAATTTGCTCAGAATGACCCAGCTAGTGAACAGAAGAGCCAGAACAGAAAAGTCCACGCTTTTTCTGGACCTCCAGGTCCAGCCTCAAACCTGCTTCACTGTAGGGACACAGAAGCCTTCCTGCATGTTCAGGATTAAAGGTGGGATCCGAGGTCCTGGAGACTGGTGACCACAGAGCTTCATGCTATTCCGTCCCTACGGAAAAGTAGATGACTGCGGCTGTAGAAGATGGGGGGCTTGGGGGTCCGAGGGAAGAGCCAGTGTGAGCAAGCAGAGCTCAGGCCTGAGCTCTGGGCTCCCTGGAGTTCTCAGCGCCCCCAGGGTGGCAAGGGAAGGGGAAGTGGCGGATGTGAATTTATTTACCTAAAGAGATGGCTGGGAGGGCGAAACTCTCACCTGTGGGTTCCTTCTCACCTCCCTGAGCTCCATCAATCCACAAAGTGGTCTGCCACCCCTGCCCCCATGCATGGACCAGTGCAGGCAGCTCCGAGCTCACCTCTCCACAGGCTGTTCCTCAGGGACCCAGCCCGGGAGTGGGTGAGCCTGAGGTGGTGTGGGGAGGACTGAGCCCTGGCCTTGCTTACTTGGGTGAGTCCAGGGTTCTGGAATGAAACTCAAAGAATGTCAAAGCTAGAAGTGGTCTTAGGGATTCATCATTTGTTCCAACCTCCTCATTCCTCGGATGAGAGCCAGAGAGGGCAACGGACTCTCCCAGAGCCTCACAGCTAGCTGGTGGCACGGCTGGGACAAGGCGCCAGCTGACCACGTGCCCACCTCTCTGCTTTCCCCCTGTGGATCCTTTCGGCCACTTCCATTCCACGTTCTTCCTGTCATCTACAGCCTGGGTTACACTCTGCCTCTTCCGGCAGCTCTGGCTCCTTCCCTGGGAAACCTTCAACCTCATCTCCACATCCTCACCAGCTCCCAGCCCCCAGGCAGGGCGTTAAAGAGAGCACAGACACTTGGAGGGCACAGCTCAGGCCTTGGGTTCCAGGATAGGGGTGTCAGCTGGGGGCAGAAGGCGGGTGAGGGCTCCATTTTATGATGTTGGGACTCACTGGCCATGGGGACAGTGGGAGCCGCTCAAGGCCTCTAAGCCCAAGTACCTGGTTTCTATCCATGGAGCCAGGGCCTGCTGTCACTGGCCAGCCCTCAGGCCAGCCTGGGTCTCTATAGTAACAAATGCCAGTCAAGGGGGCCTCAGGGCTCAGCCAGGGGACTCTGGGCATGGCTGGATGGCCTGCATCACAGACAACACAGCTGTGGCTCCTTATCCCTTCCTGATGGGCACCTGCAGGCCTAGTTTTCTTTTCTTCTTTTGAGGGGGAAGGGGGACGGAGTCTCTATCTGTCGCCTAGGTTGGAGTGCAGTGGCATGATCCCAGCTCACTGCAACCTCCACCTCGAGCAGTTCTCCTGCCTCAGCCTCCCCAGTAGCTGGGATTACAGGCGCACACCACCATGCCCAGCTAATTTTTTTTCATTTTTAGTAGAGACGGGGTTTCGCCATGTTGGCCAGGCTGGTCTTGAACTCCTGACCTCGTGATCCACCTGCCTTCAGCCTCTTGAAGTGCTGGGATTTCAGGCGTGAGCCACCATGACCAGCCAGGCCTGGCCTTCTAACTTGGTTTGCTCCTTACGCCCATGGGGAAGCCAGTGGTGGGCCTCAGTGGGAGGGGCATGGAGCCCTGGATTTGTTCCCCGCCCCCTTGCCCTGCTCCTTACAGGCTGTGTGACCTGGGGTAAGACCCTTCCCTTCTCTGTTTTCAGGGTCCCAGTTTATAAAAAGGAAATGGCTACCACCAGGGATGCGGTCAAAACCGCTGCCGTCCACGTTGGCTGAGATAAAGGAATGGCCAAAACGCATCAAGTGCCACAAGAGGTGGGGCAGGGGCCCTTTTTGGAGCTTAGCCTCAGTTGACCTAAACTGTCAGACTTGCTCCCTTGACTGGAGTGAGCTGGAGGTGGGGGGAGGGAAGGAGGGTGGACCTTATTAACATTCATTGCTGGGGAGGAGTTCAGGAGGTGATAAGGGAAGTGAGAAGTAGCCTGGGCTGCTGTGGTTAATCCCTGCCCCCTAGTGCCAAGTTCAACGCCCCCCAGCCGGGGCCGTCTTACGCCTGCCTCTCCTAACAGCCCAGCTGGTGCAAACAGAGCCCACCTGCAAATCTGCCACTTGCCACCACCTGCTTCAGCCCAGCCCACCCTCTTCCTGCTGAAAAACAGAAGCGCTGGGGCAGGGGAAAGGCGAAGGACAGAGGGCAAAGGGCACCCTATCGATGAGGATGGACCCCCACCTTTGCAATTTTTTTTGTTTTGTTTGAGACAGTTTTGCTCTGTTGCCCAGGCTGGAGTGCAATGGCATGATCTTGGCTCACGACAACCTGCACCTCCCGGGTTCAAGTGATTCTTCTTCCCCAGCCTCCCGAGTAGCTGGGACTACATGTGTGCACCACCATGCCCAGCTAACTTTTGTATTTTTTTTAGTAGAAATGGGGTTTCACCATGTTGACCAGGCTGGTCTCGCTCTCCTGACCTTGTGATCTGCCTGCCTCAGCCTCGTGCTGGGATTATAGGCATGAGCCACGGAGCTCAGCCTAATTTTGTATTTTTAGTAGAGACTGGGATAGGGGGAGAGGTTTCTCCATGTTGGTCAGGCTGGTCTCGAACTCCTGACCTCAGGTGATCTATCTGCCTCCCTAGGCCTCCCAAAGTGCTGAGATTACAGGCGTGAGCCACTGCGCCCGGGCCTCCACCTTTGCAACTTATTTCCTACTGCCTGCTTGCAAATCGAAATCAAGTGATCACCAGTTTATCTGTTGCATACCCTCATGTGCTTGGGGCCAGGGGAGGGGAAGAAGTACCTATCCAATACATGCTCAGCTGTAGAGAGGCCTGGCTGGCCCTTGAGGACTCCCATCACACGGTGGACTGACTTCTAATTCCCACTCTCAGTTTATGAGACTTCGTAAACTGGGCACTGGCGCATGCCTCCCTCCCATCAGCAGAGTGGTCAAAATCCCAGGCTCTGGGGCCAGACTCCCTGGCTCCTCTGCCAGCTGTGTGACCTTGGGGCAAGTTGTCTAACCTCTCTGTGCCACACTTTCCTCACCTGAGAAATGGGGCTGGGCCGGGTGTGGTGGCTCATATCTGTAATCCCAGCACTGTGGGAGGTCAGGGTGGTAGGATAGCGTGAGATCAGGAGTTTGAGACCCCCCGCTCCCTGTCTCTACAAAAATGTTAAAAAATGACCTGGGTGTTGTGGTGCATGCTTGTAGTACCAGCTACTCAAGGGGGCTGAGGCGGGAGGATAGGTTGAGCAGAGTTTGAAGCTGCAGTGAGCTATGATCATGCCACTACACTACAACCTGGGTGACAGAGTGAGACACAGTCTCTAAAAAAATTTTTAAAAGAAATGGAGCCAATCGCAAGGCCCTTAAGGTATGGTTACGAGGATTGAAGGAGTGAGTCGTGGGCATTAGTGGCTGTCACTACAGCCGATCCATCTTTAAGTGGGTGTCTGCCTCAGACCCTTTGCACGCTCTGCTCCTGTTCCCAGCAACGTCCTCTGGCAGCTCATGAACCCACCAGCCCCTTCTTGTCCATCGCCTCCCCCTGCCCTCCAAATTCACCTGTTCCACCCCCTTCAAAGCACCAGACAGTGACTGAAACCATTGTGTTGGTTTTTGTTTCCACTGGACTATAAGTGACTTGAAGGTGAGGAATTGGGTCTACCCCGGGTTGCTGTGGATGAAACCACGTTCGAAAGGACCCAGCTGCCCACAGGGAGCAGTCCCCCTGTCACTCTCTGGGTGACCTGAAGTTACTGGTTTGTCCCCTTGCTGGAGGGTGGGACTCTGGTGACCTGAAGTTGGTGGCTTGTCTGTTTCTTGGAGGGACTGCACCCAGTCTGCCTCATGGGTATCGGAAACATGCAGAGAAAATGCCACCCTGGGCAGGCGCAGTGGCTCACATCTGTAATCCCAGCACTTTGAGAGGCCGAGGTGGGAGGATCTCTTGAACCCAGGAGTTGAAGACCAGCCTGGGCAGCATAACAAGACCCCCTGTCTCTACAAAAAAATGTAGAAATTAGTTTGGTGTGGTAGCTGGCACCTGTAATTCCAGCACTTTGGGACGCTGAGGTGGGAAGATTGAGTCCAGGAGGCTGAGGCTGCAATGAGCTAGGATTGTGCTACTGCCTTCCAGCCTGGGTGACAGAGAGACCTGCCTCTAAAAGTTAAAATAAAGAATCCCAACCTGGCCGCTTCTACCTCTGTCTCTGGCCTCAAGAGAAGCTATAGCTGGACAGGAGGCCAAGCCTGGCTGTTGACTTTCCTGGGCAGGTGTTCAAAGAGCTCCGACCTGCTGGGCCCCACACCTGGGGGTCCTTGGCAGGATGCCAGGGCCAGCTCCCCACTGGCTCACTTCAGGCCTGGCCCCAGAGGGTGCTGGGGAGGGGCAGGGAGAAGCCAGCAGCAGCGCCGAATGATCACCCCGAGTAGGGGCCCATCTGTGTGTCCGTCTGCTCCAGAAACTGCGCCAGGGCCACCCCTGGGTGGACCGCCCTCCGGAGTCCCCTCTGCACACCAGGGAGAGGGCAGGGAGGGCAGGGGTCCCCCACCCCATTTGCTACTTCTCTCTTGGCCTCACCCCTATACTTGACTGAGCCCTGCTCCAGAGCACATGGTGCCTCTTTAAAGCTCACCCCATCTACCCCACTTCGAAGGTTTCCTGAGGGTGCGGGCCTCTGGTTCCTGCCTGACAGATCTTCACACGTGGGAGGTCCCTGTGACAAGAGCTGGCCCCTAACAGAAGCAAGCAAGGAGAGCAAGTGTCCCTGAGGTCGCTATGGATGCTCTACACACAGTAGCTGCCTGACAAAGGTAGGGCCGGGAGAAGACCCCCTAGGGCGAGGCCCTTTCTGGTACCACGAGCAGCCAAAGCCCCTGGGTGCCTGGAAACCTAGCCCTGCCCAGAGGGAATGTTCCGGCTGGAAACCACCTGATACCCGGCTCAGCACAGGGCAGACTCTAGGCTCTTCCCTCACCACTGGGAGGGAATCAGTGGTGCCAAGCAGGAGGGACACAGCAGCCTCAGGCTGAGGGGGCTGGGTCCAGGGAGGGGGGCATGACCTCAGGGCCCGGGTGCGCTGGTTCAAGGCCGCCCTCTGCTGGGCACTTGGGCTGGTGCAGTGGGTAAGGAGGCCAGCAACAGGGAAGAGAAGGGAAGTCCTGACCAGACAACTTTATTGTGACCCGAGGTGGGGGTCTGCACTAGAGGCCTCCTGAAAGTGGAGAGTGGGGGTGAAGGGCTCTCGTGTTGCCCCCACAACACCCCTGTCATATTCAGACAAATGCAGGGGTGGGGCAGGGGTGCTCTGTCCCTGTAGCACAGGCTGGGGAAGGCCCACTCTGCATTGTGGCCCCCAAAGCGTAGCTCCTCATTTCTTGAATCCTGGCTTTTTGGATCTGGGTGTGGCTTTGGCCTGCAGAGGGACGGCAGAGCTCCAGGGTCCCACTCCCTCCTCCAGCCCAGGCAGCCTCCCCACAGAGCACCCATCTGTCCCAGGGGCCCACCCTCTGGTCCCACTCACCTTCTTCTCAGGGCTCTTGTCTCTAATGCTGGGTCTGCAACAGGGTGGAGTGGACCAGGAGTGGGATGGGCATCAGGGAGAGAGCTCAGCTCCAGACCAGTGGCGCAGCCCTCCCAGTGCCCACCCTGGCTGCTCCTCCTGGGGACCACTCAGACTCTCTTTTTATTGTTGTTGGAGACAGAGTCTTGCTCTATTGCCCAGGCTGGAGTGCAGTGGTGCAATCTCAGCTCACTGCAACCTCTGCCCCCCGCCCCTCCCGGGGTTGAAGTGATTCTCCCTGCTCAGCCTCCTGAGGAGCTGGGATTACAGGCTCATGCCACCAAGCCCAGCTAATTTTTGTATTTTTAGTAGAGATGGGCTTTCACCATGTTGCCCAGGATGGTCTCGATCTCTTCACCTGATGATCTACCTGCCTCAGCCTCCCAAAGTGCTGGGATTACAGGTGTGAGCCATCGCGACTGGCCCACTCTGGCTCTTTTTAAACAAAGGGGTGTGTGTGTGAACGCATGCATGCACATGTATGTTTTCCTTAGGCTTCCATCTCCGTTTAGTTATCACAAATGTCTTTCTTTTGTTTTTGAGATGGAGTCTGGCTCTGTTGCCCAGGCTGGAGTGCAGTTACACCATCACAGCTCACTGCAGCCTTGACCTCCCGGGCTCAAGTGATCCTCCTGCCTCAGTCTCCCGAGTAGCTGGGACTGCAGGTGTGCACCACCACACCTGGCCCACAAATGTCCTTTTCATTACAAAAGTAATGTTAACCATTTTCTAGAAAATATAGCAATAGGTGGCACACACCTATTGTCCTAGCTAGTAGGAAGGCTGAGACAGGAGGATTGCTTGAGGCCAAGAAGTGAAGGCTGCAGTGAGCCATGATTTGTGCCACTACACTCCAGCCTGGGTGGCAGAGCAAAATGCTGTCTCATTAAACAAACCAACCAAAACTATACACATACATTCAAAGTTGCTATATTCTTCATAAGCCTTATGAAATCTTCCATTGAGAAGATACATGTAGCTTAGTCAATCGTTACACTGGTAGACATTTACAATGCTTCCATTTTTTTCCACTATCATTTGAATAATACCATGATAAGCATCTTTTTTTAAATTGTTTTTTGAGACCCAGTTTCGCTCCGTCATCCAAGCTGGAGTGCAGTGGCACGATCTCAGCTCACTCCAACTTCCACCTGGGTTCAGGCAATTCTTGTGCTTTAGCCTCCTGGACAGCTAGGATTACAGGCTGGGATTTCACCACCAGGCCTAGCTAATTTTTGTACTTTTAGTAGACACAGGGTTTCATCATGTTGGCCAGGCTAATCTCAAACTCCTGACCTCAAGTGATCTGCCCACCTTGGCCTCCCAAAGTATAGGGATTACAGGCATGAACCACACACCTAGCCCTGAGAAACATCTTAGTACAGATAATTTCCCCTGAATTTTGGATGGAATTCTTTGGAAGGAATTTCCTTCAGTGGAATTAGGTCCCAAGATAAGAACGTTGTAATGCTTTTTCAGAAAGGTGATGTCACCCGCCCGTGCTTCCATGCCCATATGCCTGCGTGTGCAGGAATACACACCATGTGTGCATTTGTATACGTACACACCAACAACATGGTATTTTTTCTAATACTGTACATCTCATCTAAGAGACTGGCTAATTTAATAGGTAGAAAGAATTACCTTACTTCCTCTTGTTCTTTTTCCAGCTTTTTTTTCTGGAAACCAAAAACGAGTGTATTAGGAGAGTTAGAGCCAGAAGAGACTCCCAGCATCCACAGGGTCCCCGCTGAGCACCTGGACAGAAATGGCCATAACGGCCTTGCCCCATCCTGCACACTCAGAAGGCTGGCCCAGGCTCCTGGTACCCCATCCCTCTGAGGGGCTTCTGCAGGGGCAGTACCTCCTTCTAAACAGCCACGCTCCTTCCCCCACCTTAGCCACGCTTGTCTGCTTCTGGGGCACCAGCCTTTTGCCTTGTTTGACAGGGGATTCCTCCTCCAGAGATATATCCACATCCTCATCCTCATCATCTTCCTCCTCCTCTTCCTCTTCTTCCTCTTCCCCTTCTTCTTCCTCCTCCTCCTCCCAGGTTTCTGTGATAGCATGGGAAAGAGGGCAGGGGCATAGGTTCAGAGCTACAGAATTGATGCCCACCTCCTATTGTGTGATCCCGGTTGCTCCAAGCACTGCCCTGGAGGAATCCCAGCCTGGAGTTGACAGTGGTTACTTACCTGTCACCTGTACAGGGTGGTGCCCTTTCTGGTCCTCCTGACAGTGGAAGCCAGGCTAGCTTAGGGGATCTAGGAGAGCCCTGCAGTGGGCTAGGTGTGGTAGAAAGAGGGCAGGGGGAGTGGCTCTGGCTGAGTAGGAGAGGGATTCATATAGGCAAGGGCTGGGGCCAAGGCTAAAGGTGGGCAGGGTTGGGGAGGAAAGGGAGGAGAGGGGGAAAGAAACTAAGAAACAGCTAAGGAACTAAAACCTTATCCTAAGAGAAGTGGGACTTGCCAAGGCTTTTTACCTAGAGAGTACCCTGAGGTGAAGGAGGCCTAATCATACAGAAAAGAGGGCCAGTTGAAGGATCTGGAAGGAGTCAGCATCTTGCCAAGTTGCTATGGTCTGCGTCACTGCAGCAGCGATATCAACAGTGGCTCCCTAGTACCGGACATTGCACTGAGTGCTTTTCCTGAATATCCCATTTTTTCTTCACAACTGCTCTTTGAACTTTGCCAGTAAGGGGCTGCGGCCCACAGAGGTCATGGCAGGTAAAGAAGAACAGAGACCAGCGCCCTTGCCTGTGGCATTCCAGTCCAGGCTGCTGGCCGTCATGTTGCCTTTAGGGATTTTTCTCCCCAAATTCAAGAATCCCTTCAGTGTTTGAGTAGCCAGTATGTCCGGAGCTCCCGCTGGGCACAGTACTCTCAGACCTTCCCGAGCCTGGGCTCTGACTTACCATAACATTCCTGGCCACTGAGGAACACAGGTCCTGAGCCAGCCCGGAGTTGGAAAGTAACTGGGGGAGAAAGCTGTACTCCAACCATGGTGACCTGCAGTGGGAGGAAGCACAGAAGACAGGGCCACTTAGGTCTGGCACTTCTCGGGGGCTGGCCTCGGGCAGAAATAGCGAGTTGATTTCCCTCCCTGAACCCTACACACTACTCATGCGTTGCATGGACCTTACTGCATTCTCAGCCCCGTACCCGCCTGCCGAGGTGAGCTCTGTCCAAGAAGAATTCGAACCCAGTAATCCCATTCTTGCTAAACTCACAGATAGCCTTCCAAGCTGAGGGGCAGCTGTCAGATAGGAGTCTGATTGCTATGAGCTGAATCATGGCCACTCTCTCATCCTCCAAATTCCTACTTTGAAGCCCTATCCTCCAGTGTGATAGTATTTGGAAAGTGATTTGGGGGGGGGGATTTTGGAGAGTGATTAGGTTTGGGGGTCATGAGGGCGGGGCACTCATGATAGAATTAGTGCCTTTATAAGATGAGACACTATAGAACTCACTCACTCTCTCTCTCCACTCTCCACTCTTCTGCCCCACCATGTGAACATGCAGCAAGAAGGCTGCTGTATGCAAGTCAAGGAGAGAGACCTCACCAGAACCCAACCATACCAGCCCCCGATCTGAGACTTTCAGCCTCCAGAACTGTGAGAAAACATCTTTTGCTAAAGCCCTCTGGTCTGGTATTTTATAATAGCAACTAGGGCAGGCTGAGATGCTCACTGATCAAACGAGAAAGCATATGCACGACTTTATGTACAGTACTACTTTCTTCACATCAGACAGGTCATGTGCCAACTCGTAACCAGGTTTGTGGAGGCATATCTTACACATGAGGATGAAACCCCAACGATCATACTTATAAATGACAAGAATCTCTACAGTACTACTTTTGTCTTATGCAAAATGTATGGATATACATGTGAAACAGGCTTGAAATATATTAAAATGCTAACCATAATTGTCAGTAGACATTACAGTATTTATTGTATTTATACCTTCCCAAACTTTCCGAATTTTCTAGAATGACAATAGCTTATTTTAGTGTTTTATCTGCTTTATCTCATTTAAATCCTCATAAGAAACCCATGATGGAAATACTGATACTTTACAGAAGACGCAACTGAGACTTAGAGTGAATAACTTAGAGCTCTAAGTTCAGACAGGAGGTAATAAGCAAAAACAAACTCTGCACCCACTTAGAAGTGCCAGAGAGAATGTAATTCAGTGTTTTGACTGCATGGCTGAACAGTAAGACAGAAGAGTCCTTGAGCATAAAAAATAAAGAGAGGGGGCCAGGCGTGGTGGCTCACGCCTGTAATCCAAGCACTTTGGAGGCCAAGGCGGGCGGATCACCTGAGGTTGGGAGTTCAAAACCAGCCTGACCAACATGGTGAAACCACGTCTTAAAAAAAATAATAAAAAAATAATAAAAATAAAAAATAATAATAAAAAAAATAAAAGAAAATGAAAAGAGGATACCTTCTGATTAGTGATGAATGAAAAAAAAAAAAAAATGAAGAGAGGCAGGTGTAGGAACTAGTGTGCAGCAACTGAGGGGAAATGGACCTGAAAATAGCCAGGACTTTGGGCTTCAAAACTCACACACAGGCTGGGCTCAGTGGCTCATGCCTGTAATCCCAGCACTTTGGGAGGCCAAGGCAGGCAGATCACTTGAGGTGAGGAGTTTGAGACCAGCCTGGCCAACATGGAGAAACCCCAACTCTATTAAAAATACAAAACTAGCTGTGCATGGTGACACATGCCTGTAATCTGAGCTACTTGGGAGGCTGAGGCAGGAGAATCGCTTGAACCCAGGAGGCGGAGGCTGCAGTGAGCACCAAGATTGTGCCATTGCACTCCAGCCTGGGCAACAAAAGTGAAACTCCATCTCAAAAAAAAAAAAAAAAAAAAAAAAAAAAAAAAAAAAAAAAAAAAAAAAAAAGAAAAAGAAAAGAAAAACCAGCCCTCAAACCAGCCCTCTTCTCCTCAAAAAAAGAAAAACAAAAAATTAAAACCCTAGCCACCATTAAAGGAAACTAACAAGGAAGCATAAATCGAAATAAAAGCCACCTCCTGTGAAAGCCCAGACCCATAGCTGTGCCTCTCACTTGTGTGGTTTGAATTATTCATTGAGTACCGCCAACCCAAGAAATGTGTATAAAATCCCAAGCTTATATATTCCTGAGGTAAATGGCAGAAGCAAACACAAAACCACTCTGTTGGAACCCTCCCCAAACTCAGGCCACATCAAATTCTTTTGGAAAAAAACAAAATAAAGATGAGTTCACCGTATAAAATTACAAAACACACACGAAACAATCCCGCTAGAGTCAACAGAAAGAAACCAAGTGGCTGCAGACTCGGCCAACTAAGAACTTAAGAGGACACCCATCTAAAACGATATCAAATTAAGCTGGGTATGGTGATGCACGCCTGTAGCACAGGCTTCTCAGGAGGCTGAGGCAGGAAGATTGCTTGAACTCGGGAGTTCAAGGCTGCAGTGAGCTATGATTGCACTGCTGTACTCCAGACTGGGCAACAGAGCAAGATCTTGTCTCTAAAGTATGTATATACACATATATGTATGTAATAAGTTTAAAACCAAATAAATGCAAAAGTAGGAATCAGAACCATAAGAACAAGACATTATGAAAAAGAAAAAGACCCAACTGCAGCTTTCCAGACATAAAAAGCAGAAGCTGAGGCTGGGGATGGTGGTTCATGCCTATAATCCCAGCACTGCGAGAGGCCAGAACTTATAAACCAGCCTGGGTAACATAGTAAGACTTAAGCTCTACAAAAAAACTAATAATAAAAATTAGCTGGGCATGGTGGCTCGTGCCTGTAGTCCCAGCTACTTGGGAGGTTGAGTGGGAAGATCACTTGAGCCCAGGAGTTTGAGGCTGCAGTGAGCCATGATCATGCCACTGCACTCCAGCCTGGGCAACAGAGCAAGACCTTGTCTTTAAAACAAAGATAAAAGAAAACCTGAACAAATGATTAAAAAGCAGAATAAAGCAGCAGAAGCAGAATTAGTATGATCAATAGTGCTATGAGGAATTACCCATTATAAGGCACAGGGAGAGATTTAAAGAAACCTGAAAGACAGGCTAACACAGAGGACAGAGTGAGAAGGTCCAACATATATCTAATTGGAGGAGGGACTAGAGAGACTGGAAGACAGTCAATATTCAAAGGGAAAACAACCAAGAATTTTCAAGAAGTGATCAAAGACATAGATCTTCATATCTGAAAACCTAAGGACTAAACAGATAAGTAAAAATCAATCTACACATGAACATATCATGGTAAAACTATAGAAAATAAAAACAAAAAATATTATCTTAAAAGAAATCAGAGAGGAAAGACATCTCCAAAAAAAGGAATAATCACACAGATTGAGGATTTCAACAGCAACACTGGAAACCAGAATAGAACAACAGCTTTGAAGCTGAAGGAAACTCTTTACCTAGAATTATATACACAGCCAAACCATCGTGAAAGAATGAGGGCAAAATCATGATATTTCTAGACAAAGCCTGAGTAAGTTTACTATTCTCAGGCCCACTAAAGTATGTTTCTAAAAAAGATAAGAAATTAAATCAAGAAGGAAGAAGTGAGTACAAGAAGCAGCCGCAACCAAACTAATTGGTAAACAAAGTAAACCTACATAAGCATTAATTGGAAAATACAATAATACTAGTAATGAGTTGTGTTGAGTAGGCTGACAAGTTGGAGCTACAACACTAGATAATATTTAATTTAAAAAGAGGAGAATCAGGCCAGGCACAGTGGCTCACACCTGTAATTCCGACACTTTGGGAGGCCAAGGGAGGTGGATCACCTCAGGTCAGGAGTTCAAGACCAGCCTGGCCAACATGGCGAAACCCCATCCCTACTAAAAATACAAAAATTAGCTGGGCATGGTGGTACACACCTGTAATCCCAGCTATGCGGGAGCCTAAGCCAAGAGAACCACTTGAACCTGGAAGGCGGAGGTTGCAGTGAGCTGAGATTGCACCACTGCACTCTACCCTGGGCAACAGAGTGAGACTCCATTTTGAAAATAAAAAGATGAAAAGAGAAGAATCAGAAAAGCTCCTTGGATTGTCTGGGAGAAAAGAAAACATTAATTTTAAACTTTGAGTCATGCATGATTGTTAAAAAAAATTAAAGATAACCAGTAAAAAAATTAGAATGAGATTCTATAACTTCGAAACCAGTAGAGAAGGGGAAAAGAAACTTTCATCAATCTAATAAAATGTAGGAAAAGGAGAAGAAAATAAAGCAAGGAAAGCAGACGTACAAACTGTATGTCACAAATCCAATTACATCAGCAATCACAGTGAATAAACTCTGCTGTCAGAACAAAATCTAGCTACATACTGTGTACAAGATACATACCTGGAACATAAGACATAAAATACACCTGAAATGGAGAAGTTGCTGAGGCCAGAGCATAAAGGCAAGGCAGGCCATGATACACTCTCAGCTCTGATTCCAAGTGAGAGAGAGAGCCGTGACCTAAGTGTCCTAGCAGAGAAGCCACATGATCTGACCTGTGTTTAAAAGGATCTTTTTGGCCAGGCTTGATGGCTCATGCCTGTAATCCCAGCACTCTGGGAGGCCGAGGTGGGTGGATCACTTGAGGTCAAGAGTTTGAGACCAGCCTGGCCAACATAGTGAAACCCCATCTCTATTAAAAAAGAAAATCAGCCAGGCGTGTTGGCCAGCACCTGTAGTCCCAGCTACTCAGGAGGCTGAGGCATGAGAATCACTTGAACCCAGGAGACAGAGCTTGTAGTGAGCCGAGATGGTGCCACTGCACTCCAGCCTGGGTGACAGAGCGAGACTGTCTGGAAAAAAAAAAAAAAAAGATAAAGAAAAAAAGATCTTTGGCAGCTGTGTACAGCACAGACCAGGAAACTTTCTGAAAAGAGCCAGAAGGTAATATTTTAGACTTGCAAACCATATGGTCTCCATGGAGACTACTCAAACCTGCTGTTATGAGGAAAAGCAGCCATGGAATGGGTATAAATGAGTGCGGCTGTGTTCCAGTAAAACTACTTATGAAAACAGGCAGTGGGCTAGATTCAAGCCCTCTAGTTTACCTACCCTGGAATACACTACAGGGGACCATGGGATGGTAGGTAGACCAGGTGGAAGGCCCTGCAATTAAACAGAGCCACAGGCAACTGTCACCTGGACCAGGGGTAGCAGGGAAGACGGTGAGCTATGGTCCATCAGGGCATAAGATGGAGGCAGAGCAGACAACAAGACTGCTGATATATCAGATATGGGCGTGGAAAAAAAGAGGGTTTGGGCCAGGTGCGGTGGCATGCCTATAATCCCAGATCTTCGGGAGGCCAAGGCCCGATCACCTGACTTAGGAGTTCGAGACCAGCCTGATCAACATGGCAAAACCCTGTCTCTACAAAATATACAAAAATTAGCCAGGCGTGGTGGCACATGCCTGTAGTCCCAGCTGCTTGGGAGGCTGAGAAAAAAAGAATCACTCGAATCTAGGAGGCGAAGGTTGCAGTGAGCAGAGATCACGCCATTGCTCTCCAGCCTGGGTGATAAGAGTGGAAACACCATCTCAAAAAAAAAGTTTTTTCCTGGCTAACTGGAAGAACAGCTATTTTCCGAGAGAAAATCAGGCTGAAGAGGAGGCGGGTGGATTAGAGATAAAAATTGAATGTGTGGATTTAGACATGTTAAGTTTGGGATATTTATTATATATCTATTAAAGACACAGAGTTGGATATAGGACTTGGAGCTCAAGAGAGGGTGGGTTTACAGAAATAGGTTTCTGAGTCTTTGTTTAGGTGGTCTTGAAAACCACAGGACTGGATGAAACTGCTCCGTCTCGGTTCAGGCATTAGATTCTCATGAGAAGCATGCAACCTAGACCCCTTTCATGCACAGCTTACAATAGGGTTCATGCTCCCAAAAGAATCTAATGTCATTCTGATCTGATCAGATGCTGGGCTCAGGCATAATGCCAGCTAGCTAGCTGCTCACCTCCTGCTGTGCCATCAAGTTCCTAATAGGCCACGGAAGGGTTCTGGTCCTTGGCGGGGTGGTGGGGGACCCATGGTTTGAAGTGTAATTTTTGCAGACAGCTTAACTTGTCCAAGGTAACACAGCTCTAGGAAGGGGTGAGATGGGCTAGACCCCAGCTCTTTGCATGGGCTGTGCTGCCTCCCTGACACAGCTGACTTCTATAGGGTGAATGTACCCTCGTGTGTGTGCATTCCCGCCAAAGGGTGAGGTTGAGGCTGGGGCTGGTTGCAGTTTTCCAGCCAGCAGGGAAAGGCGCACCATGGGGAGGACTGAGGCCTGGAGCGAGGCAATGGTGACCGGCTGCGTCTTCTTGTCCTCTCGGTTTCCTGGAGGCAGGATCTCCACGCGATGCATCTCCTCTTTGGTTTTCTCCCCTAAGCAAATCTGAGCAGGTTGAAAACAGACAGAGGCCACTCATCACCCTGAGGGCAGATGGGAGAAACTCACAGTCCCCTCTTGGGAACAGAAAGTCCCCCACTCCATCCTGCTCCCTCTTTCGGGCACATCTACCGTATGAAGCAACAGCCGGCAGCCCTGCTTCCCCTCCGGCTGGGGTCTGAAGGTCCAAGTCCGCCTCTCCTGACTGAGCTCGCAGCCTGCGGAGGGGAAAAGGAGGGATGTGGCGCCCTCCTTCCTCCCCAAGGGAGCTGCTCACCTGCGCCGCAAGCTGCTGCGCACCGGAGGTGGGGCGTGGCTCTGGGAGGGACCCTGGGTTTCCACTCACCCCAGAGCACGGTCTTCACTGCCTTTTCCTCCGTGCTGCTGGTGCTGCTGAGATTCATGGCTCGGGGCGGAGGAGCGGGATGGCCGCGCAGCTGCAAGGAGGACGCCCACGTGAGGCCTTGCGCGCCGACCCTCGGCTGGAGGATGCCAGAGGCCAGGAGGCGTCAGCAGGTACTGAGGCGTCGCTGGCGGCCGGAGAGCCCCTGTTGGGTCAAGGGCTCGCCAGCCACTCCTGGAGGACGAGTACCCACCTCCCAGCGGGGCGCGCAGCCGGGGGCCCGGCCGGGCCCGCACAGGACTGCGGGACTCACGGGAGAAGGAGCTGCCCACGGAGCCCAGGCTTGAAAACCCGCAGGGAGGTCACCAGGCTGCGCTTGGGCCTGACTCAAAGTCTCTGTGGACCCTCTACCAGGCGCAGAGAAGGGGGTGTGCGCTCGGCTTGGTCCCAGCTCCCCCACCCAGCCTTACCGTCGCTGCTCCGCTCGGGACCAGTCACGCCATCAGTACTACCGGAGCGCAGCGCAAGCTCATCCCCGCTGGCCGAAGGGCGACTGTCCACGCCCAGGCTAAGAAGCCCGCGAAGGGGCAGGACAGGTGTCCAATCAGCCGCAAAAAAGCCGCCTGCCTCCCCTTCCCTTCTCCCATTCTTTCCTCCGTGTGGCAGAATCACCTGGAAGGCTGTTAACGCGCGCATCGCTGCCCTCCACTCCACAGCTGCCCGTGGCGTGGGTCTGGGTGGGGTCGAGGGAATTTGCATTTGTAATCAGTTCCCAGGTGAAGCTCATGATGCCGGTTCATGACCCTTCGTGAGAGCCGCCGTCCGGGCCAATGAGGACCCGCCGAGGCCTCCTGGAGCCCCGACCCCAGCCGGTGGAGAGGAAGCCTTAGCTCAGCTTAGGAAGGGAGGCCGGCAGCCGGCAGGAAGCGGCAGGTGGAAGCGTTCCTTCTTGTGCATTGCTTTTCTTTCTTTTCTTTCCCCGTGCCTTATACAGCATGGACCTTTCCTAAGGCCCAGACAGCCTGTCCTTCCAGTCTCCAGTGAGAGAGCGAACTCTGTCTCCTAAACGGTGAGATCTCCGGCGGAGAGCCACAGCGGGCAGGTGGGGTGGGGAGGTGAGCGGCGAGGCGCCACAGCAGGAGGTGGGGAGCGCGGCTAGCGACGCTACAGGGCCAAGCACGCGACCAGCAGCGGGTCCCAAACTCAGTGGACAGTGAAGAGGAGGTGGGGTTTCAGTTGATATGCCCTGGAGACACCTCAAATTACCAGGAATCTCCCGCACACACCTGGGACAGGGGCTCATTGCCACAATGAGGTCAGAATCTTTTATTCCTCGAAGCTGGGATCACCTTCCTTGTGAATTGGCCCAGGACAACCCACAAGAGGTTTGGGGGCCTGCCAGAGCCCTCTGAGGCTCCCTGTTCCCAGCTGAGCATTTCCGGTCCCCTTGGCTGTCCCTGAGCTCTCTGTCCCTGGCTGGGGGCTTACTGGAGGTGACAGCCATTGCAGCCAAGTGTGCGGTAAAGATGAGCATATGGCAGGCACGTGCATGCCGCGTATAGACGTTCAGATATTCCCTCAACAAATGGTGATTCTGGCCAGGGCCTGGCCATCCCACAGTGAATACGACAGAGCCCCCTCAAAGGGCTTCCAGCCTCACTGGAGAGCAGTGCTCAAAGCAAACTGGCTGTCTGTGGCCCCAGACTACCCTTCCCATGAATAATCACACTGATGTGAGGCTGCAGCTGGGGGTCACAGTGAAGGGTAAATGGAGGCAGGGAGGGAGATGCCCCTGGGGTCACGAACTGGAGCTGGGACGCTGGAACTGGACAGCCAGGATTCAAGTCTGCACTCTGCTTTGTGATTTCAGGTGTGCTAATTCATGTCTCAGTGCCTCAGTTTTCTCATCTACTAAATGGGGCTACTATACTGGAACCATCCTCATTACCTTTTTTTAGCTGATAAATATTAATTGTATATATTTATAGGGTACATATGATACTCTGATACTTGCACACAATGTGTAATCAGCAAATCAGGGTAACTGAGGTATCCATCACTTTGAACATTATT